TGTGTGTGTGTGTGTGTGTGTGTGTGTGTGTGACAGACAAACAGGCAGAGAGAGAAAGAGAGAGAGAGAGACACACAGAGAGAGAGAGAGAGAGAGAGAGAAAGAGAGAGAAAGAGAGAGGCAGAATGGCAGATAGACAGACAGACAATCAAACAGACAAACAATGCCGCGGGACAAATGGATGTAGCCATCTGTCTTGTTCAAAACGCTTGCACCCCCCCCCACCCCACCCCTTGTGCTAGAAAAAGACAAAACAGAAGAAAAAAGAAAACAAACAAACAAGATAATATATAAATAAATAGATGAATAGATAAATCAATGGATAAATATATATTTTCAGTTATGTCTACCTTTTCATCAAAAGAAAAAGTAAACTTCAAAAGCTTGACAGCCTTTGCCCAAAAGACGGATGTGAGTGCACATTGCTAGATGTTGATATTATCATTAAAAACTGTGAGCAGAGGTTAAGCCGAGACATCACACTTGGCCACCAAATAAATAGCATCACCACTGGTGGTGTGTTGCTCACATCATTAGAACTAAGCTTCGACGCCGACGCAGCCTCTTCTCACGTTACGATAATTTATGTTTATAGCCATTTTCATGCTGTGAATTACATCACACAAACAGAATAATACACTACAGAAACACGATATTGTGGGAGTAGTCGATGCAATGCAAATAACATGCGTTGTACCTTCAGGAACCCTTTTATATGTGTGACGTACGAAGGTAAGCTTGTCAACGTTTAAACTCGGGGTAAGGAGGAAAGAAATATGGAAAATAATTGTTAATATTTTACGCCCCCATCGACATAATTAAAGTCAGTCTGGGGATGGGCCCAAGAGGTTATATTTTGTATCAGAGATCGTGGCAGTGAAGCCCCCCCCCCCCCCCCCCACGTAAACGAACGGGGGCTGCACGTGCCTATCCTGGGACGATGAGCCTCAAGCGCAAGGCATGCGCAGTTCAACAAACGAGAGAGTACTTTTCGAGACTCACGCGGAGGCTTCCAGGCCGTCTCAGGATGAAATCTACAAGCTTGAACTGAAATATTGGGGCTGGATGGTGCTTAATATACTAGAGCTCATAAGGAGCAGAGTGGGGAGGGGGGTTCAGATTGTACGTGTGTAAATGAGGCACGCCGGCCATGCCGATGAAGGTAAGAAGGCCCCAGTGTGACGTCTCTGCTGCGAGCTCTAGTATCATGTATAACCTCGGAAGAAGTGGGCTCTGATTTAACCCAATCTGTCGGGACCAACAAGATTGGGGCGGAAAAGCCGCTTGGCGCGGGAAGGGGGAAAGAATAAAGAGAATAGAGTAAAAGTAAGCCCCACCCGGGGGGAGAGGAGAGCGAAGGAGGGGGGGGGGGGGGCGAGAGGACTGACCGCAAGGGAAGGGGTTTCCTTACATCCTTCTCCCAGGAACAATTTTTTTCCAACCCCGTTGTGCTGTCGGGGAGCAAGAGGGGATGTTAGAGGAAAGAGTGTTTCTTGCGTACAGTACTGCGTTATACTCAATCATCATCTCCACACCATGTTTTGGTATAGTTGTGTAACGCCCCCAAGGGTACAATTTAGTTCAATTGGGAGGCAGGACTCTTCGATCCCGTCAACACGGGCTGAGAGGGATACAAAGTCCCCCCCCAGAGAAACCAATATACTCGATAAAATTCTCCACACACTGAAATTGAACTCATATATTTTGCCTACGTCCTTGAAGCCCTTAACCACTTCACCATTAACATCTTACTGTTAGATTCTTACTGCAAACATAAAAAAATCCAATACCACAAGACGTTCACCATGTTAAGCCCATCACTCGTTAGCTCGAGAATGTCTTGGCCCAGTTGGTAGGGTTGTGGAGCATGTTTGGCTGTAAAAACAATAACTAAAATACATTCAAAACCGCTTAAACAAACATTCACTTCCCATTTCTCACCTTGCGTTTTTTAACATTTCAGTGCTAGGCCTACTGTATAAGACCTGTCTAAGGCAACCACTTTTCTCCTCAACGATGTTTTGTTGTCTTTGAAAACTTCAACTGCACATTGCCATGCCATCATCATCATTGCCTTTCTCATCTTGGGTCAGGGTATAGGTCACGAACAAACACTTTCCACTTTTCCCTATCATGGTCTAGCCTATTGGTGTTATTCCATGTCTTCTCACTTTTCTGTACATCAATTTCTGTGACTCTTCTCCAGATTCCACGTGGTCTTCCGCTTGATCTTTTACCTTGTAGATTCGATCCTGCACATATAATCAAAATTTATTTTTCTTCTCGCAGGTCGCGTTTGTGGAGCAACAGCAACAGAAGCGCCGTGTGAAGAGAGGTCTCGTTGAGGACAGAGAACTTCATGACCGTGAGCTGGCCAGGGAGATAGCTGCTGGAGGCGGGGAGCTCCATGACCCTGAGCTCATACATGAGTGGTATCTCAACCCCACCGGTTCGGTGAGGGACATAACATTATTGTTATAAAGTCCGTGTAGGGTTGTCT